TTGTGTGTGTGTGTATAACCAGAACCTACAATGCTTAAAATAAGTGTAATTCAGATAAGCTGGCAGCTGTGTAATAAACTAAGAAACATATTTTTAAACCTTGTAAATTAACACTTTTCCTTTTTCTTGATTATCCTGACTTTGAGGAACATATTGTGTAATTTCAGGGGTTGGGACAGTGATGAATCAAACATTTTAAAAACTTTTGAAATGCTGATGTATTTGTGGTTTCAGGGCCTTTTTTTAAACCACCATATATTTCAAACCCAAAGAATCTCTGCCATGCATCAGCTGGATTTGGGGGTTTTATAAAAAATGTAAGTTATTTCAGCCTGACTGTTGGGAAACTCAGTTCCACAAGATGGCTAATGTTCCAACATTTTTAAAAAACTCATTAAAACAAAGCAAAATATACCTCCATCCCTACCTTTAAACAACACTTTGCTGATAATTTCCTTTAATCTTCAAAAGATAAATGGACTAAAAGAATACTTATTTTTAATGTGGAAAATAGTGAAATTAACTACTTTTACCTTCCTCCATCAATTCCCTTTCTAAAAGGGGGACAATGGAAGGGAGTTGGGAGATGACCTTAAATTTCAGAATAAAGAAAAAACATGATTTAAAGAAGAAAACTTAGTCCAGAGATGTCAAAAGGCTCCACCGTGTGGTGTACTAGAGGAAGTACAGCATTTTACGCTCTGGTACAGACTAAGGGCATGGGTGTGAAGGTTGGGATAGGGGGTGGGTACTGGAGTCCTAGAGGAAGAAGAAGTTCAGGTACTGCAAATACCTGAGCAACTCAGCACAACTGTGCTAATGCCCACCACTGGGGGATGGGGAGCGATGGAGTTCAATATTACCAGTGCTTCAGAGTGCTCAAAAACTGGGTAAGTAAATACCACTGTAAGCAGCCAAGTCAGAATTCTAATTCAAGTCCCCTGACTGAAAATCATAAATACAGAGAACAGACTGGTGGTTACCAAAGGTGTGGGGGTGAAATGGGTGAAGGGGGTCAGTAGGAAAAACATCTAGTTACAAAATAAATAAGTGATGGGGATATAATAATGTACAGCATGGTGACTACAGTTAATAATACTATACTGTATATTTGAAAGATGCTGAGAGTGCATATTAAATATATACAAATATCCAACTATTGCATTGTACACCTGAAACTAATACATTGTAGGTCAATTATACCACACTAAAAATAAACAAAAACAAAATAAAACCTGTTGTTCTGATGCTTCCATTTGACTTTGAAAGAACACAGATCTAAAAGTGATGGCCAAAGATTGCACACCAATTGTCTGAAACTGGAGTGGTAATTCTTTCATCTAAATTGCAGAACAGATTTATGGCTTTGTTTTTAAAAAGGACTGAAAGTGTATGTAATGAAAGATTATTTCCCAAATATATGCATATACACATACACATAGCCATATATACACACGTGTGTGCTTGTAGAAAATATTCACTTGTAGAAAATTTGAAAAATACAAATATGGGGGAAAAAGATATCACTTATAATCCATTTAAATATGTATTTATTTCCAGTCTTTGCTTACACATAGAATTTATTTTTTATAAAACTGGGCTCATTCTACATTTAAAATATTTAAGCCAGTTTTCAACAATAAAAATATGGTTTCGTACACAATGATTAACTTACAAACACTAGGAAGGGAATAAATATACTCTAGCCTGTAAGTAGTGATGCAAGAAGCCTTCTATGCAAATGTTTCAAAGATGACTGACCCTCTTATTCTTACTCTATTCAGGCAGGAAAGGCCTAAAGATCTGGTATAGAAGGAGGAGTGAAGAAAAAGCGAACTTGGGTTCACTCCTGGTTTTATCAGCAATGGCTGCACAACATTGAACAAGTCACTCATCTCAGTGAATCTGCTCCTCATTTGAGCAACTGAGATAGACACCTCTTGTCCTGCCTAACTCAGAACTTCTGCAGGAAAGTACATGAAATGATGGAAATACAAACCCTCTATAAAATTGCCCAGGTACACACACACTCTTTAAGATTCTTGGTATTCTTTCACAAGGTATTTACTTCTGAGTAAGCATTCTCACGGATCTCTTTTTCAAAAATTGAACAGCAGTGTAACCTCCCTGGAGTGGTTCTTATTTATCAGTGAGAACCAAGTACAGAATTTTCCTTTCCTATAGATCTCTGGTTGCCTTGCCATATATTGCTTTATGTCCAAAAATTCATCTCTTTTAATTCTAATAAAGTGCTCTGCCCATGTAATATGAAGTAATTACATTCTTCCACCATTATTATTCTGCTTGATTTTGGAGCTTACTATATCACTTTACATTTCTTAAAATCTCAGTCCTTTCAGTTGATCCAAAGCATCTGTCCATTGTTAAATAGTTATATGGGTACCTAATTTCCCAACAGAATTTCCTGTTAGTTATCATTGAATTTGTTTATGGTTATGCCATTCTTAACAGTATGTCTCTCACTTCTTGCCCCACCCCCAGCCACCCACCCTTTTTGATCCTTTCTATAGGACCGCTAACTGCTAACTTTGTTCATTTATCAGATCCAACTGATAAGCTTCTGTTACTATGTTTTTAAGATGTTGATGTATAAATATATTCTTATTTGGTAAACCAATCTGTGCATTTAATTTTTCCACAACTAACATTTAGGTGAGGCCTCTCATGTTCAATCTTGCTGGGATTTTTATGTTTTTTTTTTCTCATGTTTAAATAAAAATCCCTTTTGTCTTGTCTGGGAAGAATACCTTAAAGGCAATAATAATAAGCCCAAACCAGAGAGGACTGTACATTTGCCCACACATGCCTGAGTAGAGTGTGTGGTCCCAACACACCCAAATACCAGGACCAGGACACCTGGAGTACATTAATGCACTTGCAGAGTTGGGGGTGGAAGCACTGACCAAGTCTACATCCCTCAAGTTATAAATAGTAAATTATTTAAGTAAATAATTTATAATAGTAATTATAAATTATTAATCCCCTTGAAAAACAACTAAACAAAAAAGTTTCAATCAACTTGAATCCCATCTCTGTCAACTTACTTTTACCCCATCCCATCTGGCTGCCCCCTTTGCTTCCTGCAACAATTTAGATTACTGTTAGGTTAGGGAAGGACAGGAAAAGGGAAGAGCAAAAGATTATCAAAATGAAAATGGAAGCAGCTAAGATAAACAGAGTGAAAGGGATTAAAAAGACATTCATTTGTGAGCCTGATCAGAGTGGGGATGAACCCAAAAAAAGTTAATAGAAGACTCTAATATTTGTTTTATTTCCCCCAAGGAAAGGGGAGGGGGGGACTCATGCTTGAGTCATGTTTTACTTGTTTTTCTTAAATTAATGATAACAGAGTTTCAACACATTATGTTGTCCAATAATCCACAGGCTTGCCTTTTTCCTTTATATACATTCTCCCAGTGTCCTTGCTTATAATACTGTCCTAGTTCTTCAAGGCTTAGTTCATATCCCATATGATCCATAAGGTTACACACAACTGCTCTACCTCATAGACCTCTCCCTTCTGAAGAATCACTGGGCAGCTGTTACATGCTGCTGGTTACTGCTCCCAACTAGATGAGATACTTCTCCAGGGCAGGGGGCAGGGGGCATGTCTCACCCACCATCAGAACCTCTTCTCTGTTGGGAACCACTCTGCCTGGTTTCAGGAATTGTAAGTGCCTCCCATGGCTAAGACTGAGTGAGCAACCTCCGGAATGCGAGCCACTTAGGAGATAAAGCTTGTCTCTGGCAGCAAGTACTGCTTCTGCTTCTTCCCCTGCCCCTAAAGCATGGTTGATAGTCCATGACAGGTAAGACTCCTCACAGACAGGGGCAACCTAAGCCAGACGTGATCACTTGGGAGGCCATCTTGAAGGACTCAGGGGGCTGCAACAAAGAGGGAGCAATGGACCCTCCCTGCCCCAGCCATTCTGACATAGCCTGAGTTCCCATTCCCATCTGGGTGAAGTGCTGCCTGGCTCTAATCCACTTAAGCCTAAAAACCCTATGATGGGGAAGGCGGTGCAGCCCTGTGCTGAAAAGGGCGGGTTCCCTGGGTAATTCAGGCATAAGAAAGAATATGTAAAAATTCTATGAAACCTGCTTTGTTTAGAATGCTCTCATTTAAATGATAAGGGTCCAAGCAAGAAGTTTGCTCCTCAAAGTGTTTTTGCCTCTTTAGCTATCTGATCCTAACTGAGAATAAGCCCTCATAGTTCTTTGAATATTATCTATTGTTTGATCCTTACATGTATTCTTGTGCAAACAAGCCTAATAAAAGCCCCTGGAGGAAGGAGCTCTAGGCCCTTCCCCTTTGAGAGATCGGCCACCTTTCCTCCCTAAGCAGATCATGTCTTGGTAGTGTTTATGTTCATCCCAGGCAGATGGGGGACTTTGTGGGCAAAGTTGCCCCCACACTTTTCCTTACACCAAATGACGATAGCCAACACACTACAGCCATCTAATATAACCTGCTACCAAACACTAGGGTCCAATGGCCACTGTTTTTGTTTTAAAACATAACTGCTGCTTGTTTATGTTTTGCCATCTGGCTCCAGTAAAGCAGAACTGTGGCTCTTTCGCCAACTCTCCCAGGAAAACCATTTAGAAGTGGTAATTGGAGCCCAGCACGAGGCCTAATCTCAGGCCAAAGATTCCTACAATGCTCAAGGGCTGTCCAGGTCTCCAAAGAGGATTTTCCATCTGTGGAATTCTCCGACAGAACAGTACTGATTCATCCCATCCATGGTATAAACCTGCCTTATTGAGCTGTAGAGATGGCACCACCACGGTAATATCCACCACCACCGAAACCGGAGAGCCTGAGGGATTCATCATCTCTCAGTGATGAAACATCACAGAAAGGAACAGCTGTTGATGTGCAGATCTTCATTATTTATCATGGACACTCAGGGTAACAACAGTCTTAGCATCTTTTCATGCTTTTTAAAAAAATGTTTCAAAGAAAGAGAATTACTTACTGCCTTCCCACGTACAATGCAAAAGATTCAAAGCCCCTTCTACCCTCTTCCAGTGTGCCAGATGAAAGAATGCATACGCTATTGCTTCACTGTCGCCTCTCTTCAGGATATGTTCTGGGGGTAGGATTAAGCTTTTCATTTCTAGTAGATACTGAAATAAAAAGGCAGGAGACAGAAATATTAATATGTAGTAATTTGAAATTCAATATTAAAAATAGAAAGGTTGATTTCCCAAAAACCACCACTCATAAGCATTTCATCAAACCTGCATTTGAAGGCATCCAGCAATCCAAACTTTGCTGACAAATAATTATCCTTGTAATAGTTTACAGTGAAGATCAGAGGCTTTCAGGCTATGATAGTCTAATCAAAGAAATAAATATAGACTCAAACAGCAAAAAGGAAAATTTAGATGACACAATAATTTGGTATAATTTTGTACCCAGAATGAAAATATATAAAACAGATACATGAAGGGTAGGAAGTCATATGACAAACTGACTATGCCAGAAGAGACTTGAGATTGACAAGCACTGCCTATTATTTTTTTCTATACAGATGGATCAAGGAAAAGGACCTAGGCTGTGCACAGGGCCACCCTTCACTGCTCAGATGCTGGAGGGAAGAAGGGTAGCACCTGGAGCGTAGGAAGGCCCAAAGAAGGAGAGCAGTACAGACACCAAACTGTAATGTCCTTTTAGATCCTTTCTCCAAGACCGGAGGATTCTCAGTTTATGCCTCTTCATTCCTATCTTCTATGAAGGAGGTGGGAAGAATGAATATTCTTTCTGGAGGCTCAGAGAAGGCCATGTCCATTTGTAGTTTTTTTGTGTTTACAATGGAAAGGGAAACAAATCTAGGATGGTATATTTTGCAAATGTTAACTTCTCTCTACTGGCTGGTGTCCTCCCTGTGCTCTGTTAGCCATGATCTCCTTTCCCCATTTGTCCCCAACACACATACACACACCTACCCTCCCACAACCAACCACCATCACACCAACCTATGCATCTCCTTTCTTTTTTTAAAAAAAAGATTTTATTTATTTATTTTTAGAAAGAGGGGAAGGGAGGGAGAAATATCAATGTGTGGTTGCCTTTACATGGCCCCCACTGGGGACTCGGCCCACAACCTAGGCTTGTACCCTGACTGGAAATGGAACCTGTGACACTTCGGTTCTCAGCCCGCACTCAAACCACTCAGCTACACCAGCCAGGCACATCTCTTTTCAAATGGTGACCAGCGGATGATGGAGGGATGTGTAATTAACATGGAATAAACACAGCAAACAAATAGTGTTATGAGATGTTCAACAATTTTAACATCACAAATAACTGCTTGTGGATTTAACTGTCAATGGAAATTTATGAAAGAAGGTGAAGAATAGAAGAATCTTGGTATATGGAATGAAGATTATATTATAGTACACCTATCGATGTTTCATTATCATCTCTCCATAGACTTAGATGCTTTGGGTCTGCTGGGTGCATTGGCCTTTGAGCTTCCTCTCCTGTTGACACACAGGAGACAGGAGGACACATTTTTGATTCAACAAATGAAACTTTCCTTACTCTGGTTCTGATGTTTGAAGAAACCTCTAAGCCTCAGGCCTCACAGCAGGACTGAGGAAGTGGGAGAACCCACCCAGAGAGCAGTGAAAAACAGGGATAGAGCCACCACACTTGGGGGATGGGTGGGAAAGAAGGCCTTCCTCAGCAGAAAGACCTCTTCCCAGGCCAGTCCATGAAAGGTGTTTATTATTTTGATGGGAAATCCCCAAATACGAGTTCCAAAATAGCTTTTTGGTTATATGCCTTTTTTAAATTCTACAAGTTACTGCTTTCCTTCTCCATCTTGTTTTAAAACAGCACAAGAAAATACAAATTTTTAGAAAAAAATAACGATTTTGAATTACCTAGTAATCCAACTAGCACTATATTTATAACGAATACAAGCCTGATATAAAGGTTAATTTTATATTCAGAGATATTTGACTATCCTCATGTGATTTTGTTACCATAATAAAAGCCATTAGACTGCATGTTGCTACTACCCAGGATGATCTTAAAAGACCCCAAAAGCTATGAGTCATGAAAAAGATATATAACTTATAAAGTGCTATGAGCTGTATTAATTGTTTTAGAGTAAATTAAAGAAGAAAGACCATTTGGTTATTCTTAATAATCAAGAGAATGAAAGGAAAAATTTCTTACTTAATGAAGGCCTTAGAATAAGGTTTTGATTTCTGAGTTCTCTAATAATTTATAGCCTCCTTGACTACCAAATAGTCCAGTTTAAAAGGAGGATCATGCTGTGTGAACTTTGAAATAGTAAATGTGAAAACCACTAGCTCATGTGCACAGGTATACAGAAATCTCTTCAAGACCCTGATAATCAGATAGTGGCTGAAAAAAAAAGTATAAACTACCTTCATGATTAGGAAAAGCTTTCAAAGTCATTTCATAAGCATCTACAAGAAAACTCTTCTCCTGGTCTAAGGGACCTTCAGGAACAGAGGTACCTGAGAAGGAGTGAGCCTGGTAGCCACCCACATCTGCTGGTAGAAGTTGAAACAAACCAGGAGAGGGTAGGGCTGAGGAAACTTGGGCATCAGAATTTTTAGAAAATTACCTACAAAAAGATACAATAGATCTGCACTGTCCAATATGGAAGCCTCTACCACATTTGGCTATTGAAACTTAAATCAACAAAAATCAAATAAAATTAAAAATTCAGTTCCTCAGTCCCACCAGGCATATTTCAAGTCCTTTAGTGCTATGTGTAGTTGATGACAACCATGCTGAACAATGCTGAGATATTTCCATTATCACAGAAATTCTACTGAACAGCACTGCTGCAAACAATGAAAGTTTCAAATCTTCAAGTAACAAACAATTCTTACCTTAAAATTTTTTTATAGATGCCCATTATAGGAATTATAAGTGTAGTATTATATCTACTAATTGAAAATGTATGATACGGCAAAAGCTACAATAAATGTAATAAAACAAGTATTCATTCAAAAGCATTGTGGCCACCAGGGCATCTACATATATTGGGAAAATAATACACATGTGTGAGATGGACATTTCATTCAGCCTGCGGGCTTCAAGGACATGGCTCACAGTCCCAAATGTGGGCTGTGATGTAATGCCCTGTTTATCCCCTAAGCTCCCTCTGATCTTCTCATATGTGTACTTCTTACATACCACCTTTATTAGTTATCCATGTGTCTTTCCCCTCAGCTTAATCATAAGATCCTTGAGAGCATGAATCTAACTTCCCAAGAAGTCTCTAAATTAGAGTATCCCTGGCCTAGCAGCTTCATGAGGCTAACCAGAACAACTGACCAAGGAAATGTAGCTGCCTCCTCATCACATCCACTTTATGGCAGAAAAGGTTATATCTATAAAGGAGATTTATGCACCTATATGGTTCCAAACAAAGTATTGGCTCTAACTAAATGAAGAAGGCTAATAACAACAATGTGTTATGTTTTTTGCCAGGCTTAAAATGGCTGGCAAGATCAGTTCTCAACACATGCAACATTTAAATTAGAAAGGCATGGAACTTTTCACATCTTACTTGTCAAGTGAAAAATAAATGGGAAAGGGTAGAGATCAATTAGAATAACTGTAACTCGCAAATCAGAGAACACTCTTTGCCTGTCTATAATAACTATTTGGGGTAGTTATTAGTTAAGTCTGCATTCCACGTGATCTTGCCTGCTATCCTGCTTCTAACTTCCTTTCTGGATTCTCAAATCACACTGATCTGGAAGTACAGGCTTCTAAAGGTTTCAGAAGCAAATTTCCAAATCTATTAGTCAGCATCTAGTTTCTTAAGCCCAATAAAGGAACATACAGATTTAGATCATATAAAGAGGACCTGAGTGGTGCCTACTTACGAAGAGACATTTGAGCAGAGGGTGGTTTACCTGTCGGGAAAACTCCAGGAGAAATTCAGTCTGTCAGAGGCCTGCCCTGATATTTTCTGTTAAGGTCTTAAAATTCTATAATAATTTGGGTGAAAATGATCTCAAAGTTATCCTTCATCTAGATATTAATGCTAAGGAATTGATTTATACCCAATTTTTGGATTTTCAGTACCAACAAGAGCAGAAATCATATAAAAACCATTAGCAAAAATATGAGAATAAACAAAATGAGAAAGAACAGTTTAGTTAAATTACTGCACAATTAGATGATAGCTGTCAAGTTGTTCCCCAAAAAGCAGTCAATAGAAGAATATTTATTAGCATGAGAAAGTTTTCATAATATATTACTAAATAAAATAGTACACCATACAGATTATGATTTTGGTAATAAAAATGTATAGGTAGTCATTAAATACATTAGAAGGTCTATATTGAATGTTAATGGTGGCTAAATATTTGATTTTATGGGAGAATAATTCTTTTGTGCTTTTCCCATGCTTTCCAAGTTTTCTGTAATAAGCATTTTTATTTCTCTCTCTCTCCTGCCTCCTCTCCTCTCCCTCCCTCTGTCCCCCCTTACATGTATGTGCATGTATGTATATATATATATGTAATACCAACCTATTTTCTAGACTTCCAATCAAAAACACAAAAAGCGGACTTCCGCCAAGATGGAGGTATAGGTGGATGTGCCGTGCCTTCTCACACAACCAAGTTTAGGGACAACTAACTATTAGCATCAGAAAACACAACCAGAACACGGAAAATTGAACTTTTCGGAAGTCCGTTAACAACAAATTCTTCAGCCCGACCGGTAAGGGGCGAAACCGGCGTCTCGTGAGGGGTTGCACAGGAGGACTCCGGTCGGATGGACCCAGGCGCAGAATCCAGACGCACAGGTTCCAAACGCAGGATTGGACCTAGCGAGCGACCGAGCAACCCACCAGGTGAGCGGCTGCTGAGGAGACAGTGGGGAGGCGGTGCTGCGTGTTGACTGCAGTTGCCTGTCTGCGGGCGAGCGGACAGGCAAGGGAGTGGGCAGTTGGACCAGGGCCCAGGGTCCCCTCGCAAGCAGCAGTAGAGGGCGCCGCCATTTCCCCGCTCTGACCACGCCCCCACATACAGCGTCACAACCCAGCGACCTGGGAGTCCAAGGCGCCGCTTCTCACATTTAAAGGGCCAGAACAGACCAAAAATGTCGCAGGAAGACCTCAAAGCCCCAGAGATAAATCTAAGCGACGAAGAAATAGCAAAACTCTCAGACGCACAGTTTAAAACACTGGTCATCAGGATACTCACAGATCTGGTTGATTATAGCCACAAATTAGAGAAACATATGAAGGCTAAACTAAGGGAAATGAATGGAATTCCACAGGAAACCCATAGAGATGAAAAGGGAAACTGGGACTCAAATCAATGGAGTGGACCAGAAGAAACCAAATAATGGCCAAACAGAAAAGAGTCAAGGAGCAAGAATTCAAAGTAATGAGGAGAGTCTTAGGAACCTCCAGGACATCTTTAAACGCTCCAATATCCGAATTATAGGGGTACCAGAAGGGGGAAAGACACAACCACCATTGGAAAAATTATTTGAACAAAGAATAAAAGAAAATTTCCCCAATCTGGCAAAGGAAATAGACTTCCAAGAAATCCAAGAAGCTCAGAGAGTACCAAAAAAGTTGGACTCAAGAAGAAACACACCAAGGCATATCATAATTACATTAGCCAAAAGTTAAAATGAAGGAGAGAATCCTAGAAGCAGCAAGAGCTAAGGGGACAATCACCTACAAAGGAGTCCCCATCAGACTGTTAGCAGATTTCTCAAAAGAGACCTTACAGGCAAGAAGGGGCTGGAAAGAAATATTCCAAGTCATGAAATCTAAAGACCTACAACCAAGATTGCTCTATCCAGCAAAACTTTCATTTAGAATGGAAGGACAGATAAGGTGCTTCTCAGATAAGATCAAATTCAAGGAGTTCATCATCACCGAGCCCTTATTATATGAAATATTAAAGGGACTTATCTAAGAAAAAGAAGTTAAAGAAACATGAACAGTGAAAGAACAACAAGCTCACAGTTATTAACAACCACACCTAAAACGAAAGCAAACTAAAAGAACAGCTAGATCAGGAGTGGAAACATAGAAATGAAGATCTCAAGGAGGGTTAGCAACAGGGGAGTGGGAGGAGGAGATGGGGGGAGAAGGTACAGAAAATAAGTAGCATAGACAGTAGATAGAAAATAGATGGGGGGGGGCAAGAATAGCATGGGAAATATAGAACCTAAAGGACTTGAGACACATGGACATAAACTAAAGGGGGGTAATGGTGGGAATGGGGGGCAGGGTGGAGGGGAATGAAGGGGGGAATAGAACAACTGTAACAGCATAATCAATTTAAAAAATAAATTAAAAAAAAAAACACAAAAAGCAAATCACACAGAAAAAGGTGAAAGGGATTAAGAAGTACAAACTGCCAGTTATAAAAAACAGTTACAGGGATGTAAAGTACAGCATAGGGAATGGTGTCAGGTGGGTACGAGACGTGTTGGGTAATCACTTTGTAAGGTATCTAAATGTCTAATTGCTATGTTGTACACCTGAAACTAATATAATACTGCATGTCAACTTTAACTGGAAAACAAAGTTTAAAATAATACAAAAAGTGAACCACACTTTAAAACAAACAAATAAAGATAAGCAAAGACAGGCATTTTTTGTATATCTACAGTGCTTTGGTGCAGATGGCTCTGAAAGAGTCTGTAAGCCCAGAAAAGATGTTTTAAGCACATCAGTAAAGAGAGTAAGACATACTCTGAGTTTTAATGTGGTCTACTCCCTGGGCTCATTAAGACACATACTGGAATAGGGCAAAAATACCACAAGTCACCATGGCTCACTCAGGTCAGGCTGTGACAGGGAATGAGGTACAAAAAAACTGCAGCCCCTGTCTTTCCCCCCATCTGCCCTCTGCCACATTGAACCACTGCTTGTATCTCAACTCTAACTATGCTACTATGAGAACTAAGGTGAGTTATTTCATTTCTTTCAACCTTAGCTTGCTCATTTGTTAAAATTAAATAAAAATAAAAGTAAACATCTTGCCAGTTTTGACATGTGCATGACATGGGAGAATATAGGTAAAGCATTCACATATTACCTGGCACATAAATGTTCACTGAATGGTAGCTTTTCTACTAACATATAAATGAAGTGCTCATGTTGCTGTGGAGGTAAGTTATGTTTTTTGTTTATGTGTATCTAACAGATAATTGGGTCTGTTCCCAGGTAAAATAGTTGAGTAGTAGCAGATCAGCTGAAGAAAACTGGCTACCAGAGGTCACTAACCAATATGGTATCAAGCAGAAAGCATGGCTGACTTTGGTGATCTATAGTCCCACTCAGGGTCCTCTACACAAGATAGCTGCTCCTTGCTGGTTCAAAACCTATTCATCAGTTGCTTTGCTTTATTCAAAAAATATAGTAGTGTCCACAGTATACGAAAATACCACAGTGTACTCCAAGGCCACAGATATAGCAATGACTACAGTGGACTCTAATGACAAGCCTATGGTGTGCCTCAAGTGCACAGATACAGGAGCACCCACAATTCACTTCAAGGGCATAGACATGAATCAGATTAGGTCCCTATCTTGGTGATCCTGTTATACCCAGCTAGGAAAATTACAGCTAGGGCATTACCCAACCCTAAATCTGCAGTTCCTGGAACAGGGTAATGAACAAACATCCGGGAACAATTGGGTTTAAAATTCTAGCCAAATAAGGTAACTAACCCCGGCCCGCCAGAAAGTGCCTGCCAGCAGCAGCACCCACCAATCAGGGACCCTCGCCGTTTTTAAATAAGCCAATAGCTAACCGCCACCTCTGCTTCTGTATGCCTTTGCTTGCTTGCTAGAAAATATAAATACCCAGTAGTCTGTAAGCCAGGCGCGACTTCCATTTTGTAGCTCTGAGTAGCTACGTGACTCCGGTCACAGTTGGGGAAGTTCGCCCCTGCGCAGGAAAATCTTTGGCCATTAAAATTTTTATCAATTCGGTTCCGGACTCCGAGAGTGTGTATTTACCCGCCGATTGTCTACAACAATCCCTAATCCTTGTAGTAGTGTAGGTGTGCATGTACAAAGAAATAATAAAATTCAACATGAAAACTCCCTTAGTGAGAGGTACACATTTAATACTTAGGAAACAAATTTCCTAAGAACATTACCACTGAGGCTTCACAGAAAAAGGGAAATGTGAGTTAGTCTCATTAATAAATAAGAGTACACTTTTAAAGATGAGAGGAGGTAGAAGCCACTGCAAGGCTGGGCAGTGTCACCAAAGCATCTAAGCATAACGTGCTTGTAATATTGAGGTAGTTAAGTTCTAACATGATAATAATGGTCAACATTGATTAACACTAAGATGTGTCAAACATTCTCTCAGATGCTCCTTACAACAACTCTCTGAGAAAGCTAGTGTATTATTCCTGTTTCACAGATGGAAAAGTGGAGGTTTGGGGAACTTATCGTATTTCGCCATGTGTAATGCATACTTTTTTGCATAAATTTTTGAGAGAAAAATTAATGATGTGTATTACTACTACAAGGGCAGTACTAATTCCATATCTATATAAATGCTTTTAATTCTTTTATTTATGCTTATGTGTTAAAAGTGTAACAATAATGATATCCACATGCAAAATAATGCCCTGGAATAAGAGAATCAGTTTTATTTCTAAACATAAAGAAATAATTGAAGTAAACAATTAAAATAGAAGATTTTTTTTCTTGAAAGTTTGGGCCAAAAACATGAATGCACATTATACACAGGAGCACATTATGCATGGTGAAATACCGTAAGTAGCTTGCCTATAGTGGAACAAGTTGTATGTGAGAAAACCTGCACTGGAATTCAGGTTTCATGTCATTCTTCAAGGGAGCAAAGCTGGAAAAGCAGGTTGTAAAAGGCCTCCCGTGATATGCTTCGGAGTGTGACCATACCCTGAGTTAGTCTGTGGTTTTCAAACTTTGAGACACAAAAAAATTTGTTCAAAGAAAATAAAAGAAACTTAAATCAAAATATGTGAACCTGATGTTAAACAAAGCCAGGAGGGACACGAAGGTCTGAAGAATCTTTATGTCTGCAAGGAAGACAGTTCTACAAACAGTTGGCAATTGAGAATTGAGTTAGTATAGTTTGTGGTTTTTAAAGAAATGGATCACCAGATAGATGGGGAAGAAACTGAAATTAGTAAAATCCTAGAAAGCTCCTGTCATGGTCTGGGTGAGGGGGTAACCAAGGAGGCAGACTTCTTTAGGACTTGGTGCTTGGCTGAATCTGAGGGTGAGAGAAGGAATCAGGGTGACTATAAAATTTCTAGTTTAGAAAATTAGAATAATGTGAGATTGAGACAGGGTAGTAAGAAGCTAGGAAAATTCCTAGGCAAGTGAAACAGGAAAATAGACTGACAGCTGAAAACAATGACCCAGCAATTTTCAGCCAGATACAAAAGGTCCCCTCCCTATAGATAACATCTTGGCCCCAGTGGTTATCTCAGCTCCAGGCCCAGCAAAGCAGCAAAACCCGGTGTACAACACCAGGACCAACTGCAGTGACTAATGACCCCCTGCCCTGGCACTGACCAATCAGTAAAAACCACAACACTAAAAGGACACACCTGAGAAACTGATGAATATTCTGCTGAAACAACCTGCAAGAGAGAAAGAAAAGGCTCAAGACAAAGGGCCCAGCTGTACCATTTTGTTCTTCCCTCTCTCCTTCCCCCACAGGCACACAGCTCTTAAACTCTAACACAATGTGTTGCAGCTGCTAGTCCCAGGCTGATCCCCTGAACCTGCCCCAAGTCCATCTCTTCTCTGCCATCCCAGTGAGCAAAGGCAGCCCGCCTAGGCTCTCTGCTGTTCTTCTTCCACCCTAATGCCTCCCTTGTTTCACGGTCCCCAGCTTCAATAAACATACTCTCATAATCACCTTGACGCATGTGAAATCTTTCCTATACAAAGTCAGGAACCCACACACTACCACTGGCTTTAGGCAGCCCCATTAAGGGCCAGGCCCCCCATCTGGTAACAAGATCTATACATAGTTTAGATAAAGACCCTTAAGGAGTAAGAGGCTTAGCAGTGGGAATGTAACAAAAACAATTGGAAGTGCCTGCAAAACATCCCTGGAATAATGGCCTGAAGGCAGCTGGCTCTGATAGTTTGGGAGAAAAGCTGGAGATATAGCTTAGGGTGTGCTGGGCGTGGTGGAAGCTGAAGAGGTGGGAGCTCTTGAGATTTCTCAGGAGAGCCTCAGGCAACGGTGCTTCCCAGAGAAGCAGCCCAAGGGATGGGCAGGGGAGGAAATGATGCAGGAGTGACACAGAAAGAAGATAGCAGGGAGCCAAAATGGCTTCCAGATAGAAAAAGTGGGTAGTGGGACCCAATGCTGAGGAGAGATGAAATAGCATGAGGTTTGAACAGGGGGCAAAGGATCTGGTGACTAAGATGGGGGTGGCCTTCATGGTAGTGACCTTGGTGGGAGCAGCTACAGTGCCTTCTGTTAAATAAAAAGACCTCTCAGAAACCTACTATTCTTATGAAATGTGGCTAAAATCTCATTTCTGCTCTATTTTCCCTGGGTCACATATTCCACAATACATTCCCCTACTCTAATTGGAAAAAAGCTTTGGAATAAAATATGACTCAATTCAAAGAAACTTATATCGAAATAATATTTTTGTAATGTACTGTTGGTACATAGTATCATAGACAATCTGTGAGGGTATTCTGAATTTCTGCTTCCATGCTTCAAGCATTTTTAAATGTTTAAATCCATTACATGTTTTGCATCCTAAATTGGATTAAAAAGCAATTTTACGTCCTGTCAGTTAGCTTTGCCAAGATATAAAGAAAAGACTGCGTTAGCCTTTGCATAAAATAGTTTCCATTACTCTAACGAGGTCCTGTGAATACTCCATTAGCATATACAATTACAGAATGCTTTCCCCCATAAGCCCCATGAAATTCGAGATTCTAGATTAACACTAGATGAGCTTTTTTTAAATATTAATTTTTAATGGGAATATTACATTCTATATTCTTTCCTCTGTTTTATTATGACTTTCTACACTCCTAGACTTACAACTTAAAAACAAAATCTATTAGGGGGTCTTCAGCTCAACATCCTGTCAAGTCCAGGCTTCCCTGTGATAAAATTAGCTTCAGGAAAATGGTAAGTCCCTTACCCAAGCACTACAGGGAAGGGGACTCCTGAGGTCCACTGCACCTCCTGTTCCCCCCAGGAGGAAGAGCCCATGGTTTAACAGTGCTGGGATTTTAGGTAAGATGGAGATGAAAGCTTTCTCCCATTGGTGCTGGAGACTTTTCTTGATTTTTCTCCCTTAACAGCTGTACCTACAATACCCAGGCATCCTAGGCAACTAGGGCTCCCTCCACTCCCTCCTGCTGCTCAGAATGAGTGTGGGTCTTCCTGTTCTATGGGTGGGACCTCAAAAGCTTGGGATTGGCCTGTGGTAGTGGCGATGGCTCCTGTTCCTTTCTAAACTCAATGCAGAGGTGCCTTGGGGTTTCTGGGCTACCTGCTTTCTCATCCCAGTTTCAGCCAGACCAGTTCTACTTTTACTTACTTTGTTCATTAAGGTTCTATATAAGATTATATTAGGAGGAAAAAAATGTTTATTTCTCTAACAAATAATAATAAAGCATTATTGGTCAGTGGCTTTTGTTTCTATGGCAATGCTGTTTCATCTCTCCTCTGCACTGGGTCCCACTGACCACTTTTCCTACTTGAAGCAATGTTGGCTCCCTGCTACCTTCTCTCTGTGTCATTCCTGCATCTCTGAGCATTCTGCTCCTGCATCCCTGGATGACTATGCTAAAACAATATAGCATGGGGAAAAGTAAGTTTACAGTTATAAGTATGTGAAACATTATTATATTATGTTCCATACAAACAACTGTAAACCTACCTTCGTGCCACCGTGTTTAAGCCAGAGATTGGAAATGGATAACTTTAATCAGCCACAAAAAAGAACTTCCCAAATACAAACGGAGAATTCCTGATGACAACTGCTGCCAGTACATGTTAGAGACTCCCCTCAAATCTGCAGGCCTGAAGGGACTTTGTAAGTACTCAAGGCCAACAGCATAACAGTGCCACTGTTACACTCTCTGGTTGACCTAATCAGACTTGGGTGGCCCAAGAAGTACCAATTAATGCATGTTTCTAACTAGCCTCTATTTAGTGCAGAAATAGAGCTGAAGGTGTAAGGGAAGAGAAGATGAAGGGGCCAACATGATTTGAGCACCTACTATGTACTGGATGAATTACACAATGTAATTCCACTTACTTTTCATTAGCCCTAGGAAACCTTTATTTTTATCCCCATTTTATTGAAAAGGATATTAGCAAGGAGCCAAACAACTCCTCCTTCCCACAGTTCCCTCTGGCACATACACAGGAAGTAGTGGGACTCCTTTCCTCACATACTTCAGAACCTTTTCAGTAACAGTTCACAGGTCTGCCTGCCATTATCTTGCTCCTCTTGCTCCAACATTAAAATTAGTATGTTTTCCGATAATAGGTAGTCTACATAATTGCTTACTAGTAGTAGCTAAAAAAATACAAAGTAAAAAAATAGAATTCAATTTTATAACTAATCAAAGCATATATGCATTTTATTTTTCTTCTCTTTTTTAAATACTTATTTTTTATCAAATTTATTGAGGTGATATTGGTTAATAAAATTATGTTTCTACACTACATCACCTGCATATTTTTCTGTGTGTTCACCACTCAAAGTGAAGTCTCCTTCCATCACCATTTATCCTTTTACCCTTTTCCCTCTCTTCCACCCACCCTTCCCTTTGGCAATCACCATACTATTGTCTGTATTCTAGTCTTTATCTTCTTTGCTTAATCCCTTCACCCTTCTTCCACATCCCCCAACACTCACCCCTAGGACAGCTGTCAGTCTGTTCTCTCTATCCAAGAGTCTATCTCCACTTTGTTAGTTTATTTTGTTCATTTGGTTCCATATATAGTGAAATCTTGTGCCTCTTGCCTTTCTCTGACTTATTTCACTTATCATAATGTCTTGAGGTCCACATACATATATTGTTGCAAAGTATTGTTCCTACTTTTTTATGGCCAAGTAGTATTTCATTGTGTAAATGTGCCACTGCTTGCTTTTTTTGTTGTTGTTTTTTTAGAAAATTATTTTCATTGCTTGCTTTTATATCCACTCATTTACAGGTGGACACTTGGGCTGCTTCCAAATCCTGGCTACTACTATAAATAGTGCTTCGGTGACTGTAGGGTGCATATATTCTTTCCAATTAGTGTTTCAGTTTCTTCAGATAAATTTCCAGAAGTGGAGGAGGCAGTCCCATTTCTATTTTGAGGGAACTCCATACTGCCTTCCACAGTGGCTACACCCATCTGCCTTCCCACCATAGCACATGAGAGTTCCCTTTTCTCCATATCCTAACCAACACTTGATGTTTGTAATACTTATTGATGATAGCCATTCTGAGGTGTGAGATGATATTTCATTATGGTTTAAATTTGCATTTTAATTGTATTTGCAATGTCACTGATGAATAGTAATGTTGAATATCCTTTCATAGGTCTATTGACCATCAGTGTGTCCTCTTTGGAGAAGCATCTATTCAGATCCTTTACCCATTTTGTAATTGGATTGTTTTTTCAGTGATGAGTTTTATAAATTCCCTGTAAATTTTGGATATTGAGCCTTTATTAGATGTGCAGGCAAATATGATCTCTAATTCAGGGGTTTGTCTTCTTGTTTTGTTGATGGTTTCCTCTGCCATGCAAAAACTTTTTAGTTTGATGTAGTCCCATTTGTTTATGTTTTTGTTTTTTACCCTTGACCAAGACATAGATCAGAAAAAATATTGCTACAAGAAATGTCCATGATTTTAGTGCCTATGTTTTCTTAGTGCCTATGCCTAAGATTTTTATGGTTTCAAGTCTGACATTAAGGTCTTACATCAATTTTTACTGTATTCATGTGTATGGTGTAAGAAGGTGGTCTAGTTTCACTTTTTTGCCCATATTTATCCAACTTTCCCAACACCATTTATTGAATAGAGTATCTTTACCACATTGTACATTTTTGCCTCCTTTGTCAAAAAAGTAACAGAATATAAAGGTACAGGTTTATTCTGGGGCTTTCTATTCTATCCCATTAATATGTCTGTTTTATAGTAATCTAAATAGCAAGTACCATCCTATTTAGATTACTATGGCCTTTGTAGTATAGTTTGATACAGGTAGTGTGATTTCTCCAACTTTATTATTCAGGATCTTTTGTGGTTCCATATAAATTTTTGGAATATTTGTTCTAGTCTGTGAAATACACCACTGTCAACTTGATATGAATTGTGTTGAATCTATAGATTGCTTTGAGCAGTATGGACATTTTAATTATGTTAATTCTTCCTATTCATTCATACAGTATATATTTCCACTTATTTGCATCTTCTCAATGTCTTATAATTTTCACAGTTCTGGTCATTTGTACCACTAATTACATTTATTCCTAGGTATTTTTTTTCTTTTTGAAGTAACTGTGAGTGCAACTGTTTTCTCAGTTTCCCTTTCTGATAGTTCATTAGAGGTGTATAAAAATGCATTTTAGCCCTGGCCCTTGTAGCTCAATTG